AAAAAAAAAAAAGAACAACTGTTGAAACCATTTTTAGCTCTTAGGTAGTACAGACACAGGAGGCAGGCTGGATTTGGGCCACAGGCAGTAATTTGCCAGTCTTTGCCCCAGGGCTAGGAGAGGAATCGCTGGTGGAAGGGCCAAGGCCTCTCCACAGTAACTGCAACAGTTTGGACTCTCACCCATTTCCTTCAAGGCATTCCATCTAATGCACTGCTCCTCTAGTTCTGGGATCAAAGAACATGTGTGCTCCTTACTACTCAATTAATAAATATTCTTTATGAGAGAAACTGAAAATGTATGCAAACAACAAGATTTTTAAAGTTACCTATAATCAGCCAGGCACTCATGCCTATAATCCCAGCACTTTGGGAGGCCAAGGTGGGTGGACCACTTGAGGTCACGAGTTCAAGACCAGATTCACCAACACAGTGAAACCCAGTCTCTACTAAAAATACAAAATTAGCCAGGCGTGGTGGTGGGTGCCTATAGTCCCAGCTACTTGGGAGGTTGAGGCAGGAGAACCTCTTAAGTGGAGGTTGCAGTGAGCCAAGATTGTGCCACTGCACTCCAGCCTGCACAACAAAAGCAAAACTCCAGCTCAAAAAAAGAGAAGTTACCTATAATCCTTCCAGTTGGAGAGAAGCAAAGTTAAAACTGTGTGTCTATCCTTTCAGATTTTTTCCTATATACACATACCACTAATTTATTCTATAGAGGCACATCTATTGATATGCTTCTGAAAACGACACACAAGTCTCTGTCTCTGCTCTGCCATCCTCAGCATGGTGGCAAGGTGTTCCCTCCTGGTCTCAAAATGGCTGCAGCGGGTGCAGCATGACATCCTTGTGTAATGGGAGGCAAAGGCCAGAGAATGGGAAGAGAATGTGTCCCTTCTTTGAATGTCTTTTTGAGAGTAAAGAAACAGTTTTAAAAATTCCTCAAAATATTGCTTCAGGCCAGGCGCGATGACTCACACCTGTAATCCCAGCAGTTTGGGAGGCCAAGGTAGGCAGATCACCGGAGGTCGGGAGTTCAAGACCAGCCTGACCAACAGGGTGAAACCCCATCTCTACTAAAGCCAGGCATGGTGGTACATGCCTGTAATCCCAGCTACTCGGGAGGCTGACGCAGGAGAATCACTTGAACCCAGGAGGTGAAGACTGCAGTGGCAGCGAGCTGAGATCGCACCACTGCACTCCAACCTGGGCGACAGAACAAGACTCCGTTTAAAACAAAAAAGAAAACACATTGCTTCATTCTCCTGCCAAATAAGGTCACAGACCCATTTCTCAGCCAATCTCAGACAAGTAGAGAGAATGACCAGGAATAGCCTGAGCTGAGAACCGGCTTTGTTTCCCCCTGAAGCATGCAGTCACTTACTACATGAACCACATGGGTTCTCTCAGCAAAGACATCAGGGCAGAGGGAAGACGTAGTGGTTGAAAGGAACCACCGGGTCTGACGTATTAGGGATCAATGGGTGTGTGCTGAGTACCAGTATGTATATTTTTATAAAAGGATGTACTAAAATTTCTACTTTCATTTTTCATCATTTTGAAATCTCAAACAGCATTTAAGGAGAGGGTGAAATGTTTCTCTCTCTCTAAAGGTGGTAAAATGCCGGCCTGATAACATTCTCAACATGTTTCCACATCCTTAGAATCCTGAATTGTTGATATTCTATCATTATTTATCTCACCATCCCCTATTCATGGACAAAGAGGTTGTTCCCCATTTTTCCTCATTCAGATATTGCCAGGATGACCATTCTTGGTGTGCAGTTTTTATGAACTTTCACTTTCATGTCAGTGATGGCTCATCTTCACCACAAGATGAACCAACTACATTTTTGTGGCCTTTTTTTTGTAAGCAAAGACTTATTTTCTTCCCCATTTACATCACGGTATTAGCTGGAAGCTGCCTGTATGTGCAGAGGTCCCTCCTGTCCCCAGCACTAAGCTGGTCCCAACTGATGCTAAGACCCCCAGGTCTGCCAGGCAGCCTCCCCAGGCAGGGGGAGTGTGGCTGACACCCGCTCTCCTGAAGGTCCATAAATATCCACAAGAGGACCTCCATTTATGGGGCACTTACTGTCACCCAGGGCCTTGAAATGACTGTACTGGCCCCTGACCCGCACTGCCCTTCATGTCTCACATCTTCTCTGGCTAGAGGTAGAGGGCCGTGTTGTCCCTTGCTTGGGGTGGGAAGGGGTTGCCTCCAAGTCAGTGGGGTCCCCCTCCAGGCCAGCTTCACTCCCCTAGCACCCTGTGGAATAAGTACAGGGCCCTCAACTTTGTGCATGAACCTCAAGCCTCCTGCCAGCTTTCTAGCCTCTAAGGAAAATGTTTCTTGCCTCGATTGCTCCCCTCTACCCTGAGAGCTTTTTCTAGGAGTTGAGAAGGTTGAAATACAAATGAAACATACCCTGTTCCCTCCGTGGGAATGAGGTGCCTGCTCAGGACCACCCCCAACCTTTGCTGCCAGCGCTCCGTTCTGTTCCAGCTGACATTCTGCTCAGCACAGCACAGTTCCACCTCGCAGCCGCCCTCGCAGGCAGGTCTGGTCTGGAAAATTCTGCTTTCTGTTTGCCAGAGTCCTCATCACTCTCATTGTGCCTCCCTGACACCAAGGAATAGACTTATACTCCCAAGGAACATAAGATTCTTATACTCCCAAATATGCTTTTACTCTGAAGGAATGTGAGATTCTTACACTCCAAAGGAATATAAGATCACATCCATCTTGAGGACAATCCAGCCAAGTGTCAGCTGCCACTTGTCATCACACTTGCAGTTTTTCTTATGGTGGAGAAACATCTCTCTGAATCTGGGTTTCCACCAAAAGCAGGACAAAGGGAGCCCACTGTGGCCGCGGGAGTCTCCCCCAGGGTGAGATGAAGCGCAGGCTGGGAAGGAACCAGGAAACTCAGCTCTTGCCTCCTAGCGGGGGCCAGGACAGCTTCTCCTGGTTTCGTTTTACATCACATGCATTTTTGGTTTGTGCCCGTTACCATCAGCAGCTTGGATGCCTTTTGAAGTACGTGGGGGTACAGATGAACTCATGCCCCTTATTCCCCAACATGCCACCACCTCCAATCAGAGGCTATGGACAGCCCCACTCCTGCGGCAGGGCGGGTTCAGTGACAGAAGTTCCCCCTTTCACCATCAGGCAAAGGTCTGTGGGGGACTGGAGAGCAGGAGAGCAGGCAGCCCTGCAGCCTGGGCCAACAGCCAGCGAGCCCTGGGGAGGAAGGGCTCCTGGCATTGTGAGGAGAAGCTGAGCCTGGCTGGGGGCTGAGCCGCACATGCTCCTCACTGAAGGCCAAAGGTAGGCACAGACACAGGCCAGCCTGACCCAAGCCCTGCTCCTAAGCACTGTACTTCCTGGTGACATGGCTGCCAGCAGCACAGAGACTAGGTAGCTGTGTGCCACAGAGCCCAGTCTAGGAGGTATGACCTGTGCATCTGCAAAGCCACCTGAATGTGAATACAGAGACTGGCTCCAATTCAGCAGCTACACTTTAATTCTAAATAAGCATCCAGTGACACAGCTGTCTTCCATCTATTCCTGACTCCCTTAAAGAGTCCAATGAGATGACGCAGGGGCTCCAGCATGGCAGCCACAGGTCCCCCATCTCTCACCTGCCTTCTCCTCTCCACCCAAAGCCCCGGCAAGAAGAGCACCACATGATTGCTCAGGAAACAGGGGCCTAACAGGGGCCTCTCACAGCTCCCTTGGGGGAGAAAAATGAATAAGCCTGGCCTTCATAATGCTTCTTAAAACAAAAACCCAGCACTCCTTTTACAAAGGAAATAATGAAAAGGAATGTAAGATTCACACCCATCTTGACAACAGTTTGAGCTTTGCAGATCCCTACTTGGAGAAACTGTCAAAGGCTTTGGTATAAGCCTTTGCTCACCGTCCAGACCATGCCCACTGTCCAGGTGGGAGTAGAGAGCCGTCCCTGTCCCAGCCTGAGGCTCTGGCTCTGCAGGGCTGGCAGAGGACTTCTGACCACTGATGCACATCTTCCCAGCCAACCACAGGCCCACTGCTCACCAGCATTTCACGCTCACCCTGAAGCCAGTGAAGCTCCGCAGAGCAGCCAGGGAGACCCGCTCAAGGGCACCAGAGGCCATGGCAAGAAAATGGCTAGGGGAAGGAGGATGGGATGGGGCAAGGGATGTTAGCCAGTCTTCCTCCTTCTGTTACATGCCTGGTAACAGCGAAGCCCCTCGACGTCTGTTGGAGAACTGCTTGGGAAATGGCAGAAGCCTAAAGGGAAGGGGGCTGGCTCTGTACTCTCTTGAGGGCTTTACCTGCTAGACAGAGGGCCTGGGACTCTAGAGACGCCTTCCCAAGGACACTGCTTCGTGACTCCTCATCAGGACACTCAGGTGTGGTTTCCTACCCGCCCCCAGCAAGGGCAGCACACACGGGCACGCATTCGGCAGGGAATGTGGGGGCCGGAGGGGCACCTTTTCTTTTTTGCATGTGAAATCCTTGTCAGTGGCAGAGAATGGCCACTGAGCTTCTACCCCACACAGGAATCAGGCAGCAGCTTCAGCCCTGAGCCACCCCAGGCCACACCCATACCCAAGCCTACCTGCTCCTCAGCAGAAGCGCCCTGGTCTTGGCCACCCTGCTGAGGACTCTCTGAGTATGTGGGCCCTGTGGGAACACAGACCCAAGACTTCACGAGGTCAAGCCTTGCTGACGGCACCTTTGCCAAGGGTTTTAAGAAGGATCCTCAGTCACCCATCTTTCAGCATTCCATGGCACACAAAGGAATCCTGTGGGCTAACCTGGGCGACTCTGGCACTCAGGGCTGCCCCTTGGCCTCATGTCTGCCAGCCAGCCCGCCCGGACTGCCCAGCTCAGCCCAGCCTGCCAGCCCACTGTAAAAAGGAGTGGCTGGCTTGGAGTGGGGGCTGGGAGGGCTTCAGTTCTGCCCCTGGGCGGAGTGTCTGAGCTCCAGATGATGGAACTGAGCCACCCTCAGCCTGGCCTTGGCCCAGCCTCCGACAAATTTGATCTCAAGGACCTACGAGAAGCCAGCTCCTTTCTCTAGGAGACCTCACACACCAAGTCACAGGGGGTAGCTGCTCTGAGGGGTCATAACAACTACAAGCTGCAGAACGCATGGGATTTATTCCAAGAACTAGCTCCACACAGCGGCGCCTGTGGTAGAGGGGCTGCTGGCTAAAGGCCTGGCTTCCCCCAGCGCTCCCGGCTCCAGCCTTCACTCCTCCTGAAGTGTTCCTCCTACACGCCACAGTTCTCCTGTCCCATGGCCTAGACTCAGAAGAAAATAAATATACACGCAGGAAGATATAGTTACGCTGCGTATTTTTATATCTTCTACGCATTCACCGCCCCAAATAGAATTATTGGGTGTGCTAAAGGTAGACAGCAGCAATTTGTTATTCTCAGGCAAAGACATTTTAAAACATCGACCAGAAAAAGACTTCCATGGCCTTTTGTTACAAAGGTGAGCCAAGATTGCTAAGGAACACGGGGTGCCCTCATCTCTTGGGGGCACTCTCCCAGGCTGCTGACCTCACTTGGCCAGCAGGGGGCAGAGGAGGCTCACAGGAGATCGAGGTAGGTGCTGGTATCTCCTGGGAAAAGTCCCGCCAGCCCCTCTCCCCCCTGCAAATCCTGGGGGCCCTCCACCAAGCCCCCACATGCTCTTCCGCCACAGCATCATTTTCAGGTCTCAGCTAAAAGTGTGAGGCCAGGTGTGATGTGGCTGGGGCATCGGACTGGTGATGAGGGGGCAGATGGAAATGGGATCTGAACTTTTCATTGCTTTACCTGTGAATTTTAGATTCGGAAATAAAGAAATCCTGGCAAACAACTGAGTTTGCAAAGCAACTTACATCTGGGAGATCGGACCCTGAACTTCAGGGAAGAGTGAATTCTGGTAGGGGTGAGAGAACAATCTGGTCTCAGATTCCTAATCCCACTCCCCCAGGGACAGGCAAAGGTCCCCACCCTCTGACCTCCTCTCTTCTCCACTAAAAGGAAATGGTAGACACCTAAATTAAGCAAGGCAACGGCTCAAAATATGGGGTTAAAGTGAGGGACTAAAAAAGATCATATTTTAGGTCTATCAAGTACAAATTTACTTTTCATGCAAAAAGTAAACAGCGTGCTTCCTGCCTGGCTGGCCTGCTCTGACTTCGGGAGTGAGGCGAAGGCCTGGCCTCTCATTCCTGGCACAAGTCCTGGAAGATCCTGAGGTCAGTTCCTCCTGACACCCAGAGGCCACGCCGCCTGACACCGAAGAGATGGAGATGTGCTTGCTCCAGGTGGGGTCCATGCGGGTCCACTGTGTCCCCAGAGAAGCAGGCATGCACTGATGAATTCAACCACCCCAGGGTGCCAGGTTCCAAGGCTCCCTGCGACCCAGAACCACATACAGAAGTTGGCAACGGCCCTTCGATGAGCTGAACAGTTTGAGGCTTGTCAAAGGGGAGGTGAGGAGAGGATGCGAGTCAGTGACTCCATCCATCTGGACATGATTGGCAGCTCTTTACCCTGAGACGGCCGTGGGGGCCAGGACCCAGGGACAGGGCAGAGGGGCTGTGTATGTGCATGGAGCATCCTCATCCAACTCCAGGCTGCTGGGGTTCCAGGTCAGGGTAGGAGGGGGGAGCACTGGGTGCTGCTGCTCTGGCCCCTGCCCCAGTGCTTTGGGGACCCTAGCATGGGTGACAAATGGGATCCAACGTGGTAGGGAACTGGGAGAGGAGAAAGAAGATGGAACCGTGATTAGCAGCAAAGGTGGCAGCAGTGAGCAGACACCACAGGGCCTCGGCACAGCAGTCTCCGATTAGACAAAAGAACAACCGAGTACGAGAATGGCAGGGAAGATCGGATGGCAGGAGGTGACTATGAGGTTCTCAGCACTTTGCTGTAAAAATGCATGAATTTAAACCTAATCAAGACAGCAGCTGCGGGTCAGCAGAAACCCTGTGCCTCTAGCTTTCCCCTCTAGAGGGCGCGTTGACCCCAAAAGATAAAAACTCAGAGTTGCAGCTTGCAGGGGGCTCTAAAGAAGATACCAGAAGGTACCAGTGTAAACATTCAGAACGTGCCCAGAGAAGGGCAACAGCCGCCTGCCACCCAGGGAGACAGGCTGTGAGGTGCCAATCAGGTAAAGGAAAAAAGGTCATTCCGTTTCTGAGGGAGCCCAGGAAGTATCGCAAAGGGGAGTAGGAGGTTTTCAAGATTTCTGGGCCCTGCCACTTAGGTCAGAATTGCTGCTGCGGAGGCATCTTGATGACTCAAAGGCAGGCGACTGGCCCCTGGCTCTGCCAGTCCGGTGGGATGAAGGCAGTGGCTGGGGACTGGCGCAACTGTAGATGGTACTCCTCCCGGCAGGGGACCACAGGGGTCCTCTAGGTGCATGGGCAGGCAGGCACCCCAGCTTCACAGATGACTGGGGCCTGGCCCAGTGCTCCCTCCCCTCTGTGGGCTGAGGAGCTACAGTGAGCGAAGGCTACCTCAGGGAGGAGTGGGGAGATGACAGTTTCTCAACAAGTCACCTGGCTCCAGATGCCTGGCAAGTTCCGGGTTAAGGTGACTCTGCAGCCGGTGTCTCACCCCGCCCTCTCATGTCCCGAAGGGGCTGCTGGATGCACACACCTCTGCGAGGCCCCTGCTGAGTGTCTGTGGGCAGCAAACGCCCATCCTGGGCCTGCCTGCCTGAAGCCTTGGCACCTGGCATCAGAGTAGCTCCTGCTCGTCGTCCTCCGAGCCAGAGGGGCCCTGGCGCACCTCCTCGTACCACTTGTTGGTTAGAGTTTTCATCTGGATGCGCCCGTGGTGCAGGTCCTGGGTCGAGAGACACAACCAAGCTGTCAGTGCGTCAGGGGCAGGGCCGAGGAAGGGAGGGGAGGGTGATGGCCACAGCAACTTCAGTTTCAACTGAACCAACTGAGCTGGGGTTGTTCTTTGTGGAGCGGAGATCACGGGAGGCCTCATTCAGAAAGGAGGAGGTAGCATGGCGTGAGGGTAAAAACGTGGCCTCTGGAGTCAGACACACTTGGCTCTGTTCCCGGTTTTGTCCGTATTGGCTGTGACCTTGCGGGGTTACTGCACCCCATTAAGCCTCCATCTCCTTAGCTGTCAAGGAGACAGCCGCATCCACTGCACAGGATGCTGGAGAAGGAAGCGGTTAGGGTCACGGTCACCAGAGCTGCCTGGCTCCTAGAAGAGCGCACACGCCGCCAGCTATCAGGTCTGCCCAAGAGTGGAAAACAGGCCTGCTCAGAAACAGAGGGGGCGGCAGTGGGAAGAGCCCCACCCTGACCCAAGGCCTCCAACTACCAAGAGGCCAGAAGTGCCCTGAGGGACAGAACCAGAGCTTTGAGCCTGGGCCACTGCCTGAGGCCCTGGTATGTTGAAAATTCCTCAGCTCTGATTCACTAGTTGGTCGATACACTGTGTCTATCATCCAGGAAAACCAAACTGTGTTAACAAGTCTATTATTAACCTCGCACTAAATGTGGCAGTGAAGGAAAAACAGCAGATGCCGAGTTCCACAAGCACACCCAGCCTCCAGACCGGGAGGCGGTGGCCTGGCAGGCCCACGTGAGCTTCCTGCCTCCCCTCTCTTCCTCCACCCGACCCTGGGCCACTGCAGGTCCTGAAGGAGGCAGGCAAGGGACCCCAGAGAATGCAGTCTGGCCAGTGTCCCACCTCCTGTGTCAGCCTCCGAGTGAAGAAGGGGTTCAGGTACTTGGCATCCAGCCACATGAAGCCTTTGAGGTCCTGCCGCCTGATGTAGTGGGCCTCGTACTCCTCCTCTGTGAGCTCCGACAGGTGCTCCGACTCCACAGTGTTGCCCTGAGCAGGGAGGAAAGGTGGCCTGATGGTCATCAGCTGATACCATCAGGGGGCATCTCCTGGAAGCCCCCACCACCACCCAAGCTGCCAGTGTCCTCAACCCTAATTCCACTTGACCATCAGTGCAGGGTGATAGTGGGCAGCAAACGGCCTCCTGGGAGGCTGCAGGGAGGCAGGAAGGTTCATCAGGGCACAATGGATGCCTAGGACCCCAGCTAGGATAGAAGGACCAGGCCAAGCTGGGGCTTGGTTTTTAAGCTTTTGCATGACTCTCTTATGCAACCAGGACTGGAACTGCCGTTCTGGGCTTTTCATGACCCGCAAATTGCCCAGGGAGACTCTTTCTGTCTCTTTGCCCGTGGCTCCAATAGCTAGGACTCCACCGTGGGTAGGCTTTTGCCAATCAAGCCAGGAGAGGAGAGGGGAGAAGGACACATCCTGTAGGAATTGGGAAGGGATGAAGAAAAGGACCCCATGTGGAGGGGAGGGCCGGAGGTGAAGAGGCGGGGCTCGGGTCACTGTGGATGTCCAGCACTCCCCACAGGGAGGAGAAGCAGACAGGCTCTGAGTGCAGTGCCCCGCGCTGCTGGAGGAGCCTTGGTGGGGCCATAGTGAAGTGTGCTCTGCAGCTTCACTGCAGGTGGTGGGGGAGGTGGCAGGTGCAGGAAGGGGAGAGGATGGCAGGGGAGGGGAGGGCATTTAGATGCTGTGAACAGTGCTTGTCAAACACTGGTCTGCATCAGAATCTACCTGGGGTGGGGAGGGGCTTGTGAAACCACAAAATAGTGGGCCCAGTGGAGTCACATGCAGAGCAACTAAGTCAGTAGGTCTGAACGGGCTTGGGAATCTGCATGTCTAACAAGTTCCCAGTGATGCTGCTGGTCTGGGGACCCCATTTTGAGGACTGCTGATCAGTGTGGTGGTGAAGAACGCAGGCGTGAGAATTCGTGCCCGCAGCTGTGTGATCTGATTCTCTTGATGCCTCAGCATTCTCATCTGCAAAATGGGTATAATGAAAGCATCAGTTTCTGGCAGGCTATTGGGACAATCTGAGATAGTCCAAGGGAAACACAAGCACTGACTGTCACAGAAAACATTCCAGAAACTCAGCAGTTCATCCTCAGAGGAGCTGTCCTGTTTTCGCTAGGACTGTGCTTCGCCAAGTGTATTCACAGGATCAGATGTAGCAGCACCACCTGGTAACTTTTTAGAAATGCAAATTCTTAGCCTGGGCCACATGGTGAGACCCTGTATCTACTAAAAATAAGAAAAAAATTAGCTGGGTGGGGTTGCGCCTGCCTCAAGTTCCGGCTACTTCAGAGGCTGAAGTGGTAAGATCACTTGAGCCCAGGAGGTCAGGGCTGCAGTGAGCCATGATTGCATCACTGCACTTCAGCCTGCGCAACAGAGTGAGACCCTGTCTCAAAAATAAATAAGAAGAAACACAAATTCTTTCAGACCTCACGCCAGACCTATGAGATGCTGGTGTGGGACCCAGCAGCCTGTGCATACCAAGTCCCCTGCTAATTCTGATACCCAGAAAGGCCTGAGCTAGAGCCTTTGTGAAAAACAAGAAAGTTGGTAGATATGAGATGAGGGCAAAGGGCCTCTTAGTGTGACGGAAGTTCAGAAGAGCCAGGCCTGATGGCCATCTGGAAACTTCCCAGCCACCCTGCAGAGGCTGAGGGGCCCAGCATGGAGACGGGAGGCCATGGTCTTGCCAGTCCTAACTCCAGTGATGGCAGTGAACGGCCACTTGAGGACTCCTGGGCCTCTGATGACTGATTAAAGTGACTGAGGCCTAGAATACGGGAACTAGAAAGAGAGGCACGGTGGTTGGTGGAGGATACAGGTGGGTGGGCTGGAGCCCAGAGCAGCCTCTGCTTCAGTCAGAGGGCCTGGCTTCACGCAGGGGTCCTGAGGATGAAGACACGGCGGAAGCAGCCTGGTGGCAGGGGCGGTGGCTTGCAGGTAGAAGAGGTGGGCAGGCCGCAGAGCTTCACTTCCCCCTATAGCTGGGGCCTGGGGACCTCCAGCCCCACACCATGTCTGTCCCTGAGGCAGGGTACCACTCACAGGGCCCTCACAAGCACTGCAAGCCGTCCTCCCCACCTCAGGCCCCCAACAGGTGGTTTTTAGTAAATGCTGGAAAATGACGGGATTTTGAAACCTTCAAACCTGGGTCCTGACAGGTGTCTCAGCTGCTGGCAATGCAGAGGCACTGCTGGGAGAGTATGGCACAGGCCCAGACTCCTGCGGTGCCCCACGGAGCTTCAGAGAGGGAGCAGATGGGGTCTCCCACAGCCTCCCCGGCTGCAGCAGGGCACGGCCACCAGACACCCCCATCCCAAGAGCCATGCCTTACAACTCAAGTTCTGTCACATCCTTCTCAGGGGGAACAACTGGTGTGTGTGTGTGTGCAGTATGTGCGTAAAGTGTGTATGTGGAGGTGTGGGTGTCCTCAAAGCAAGGCTCATCTGCCTACTTCCTGACAGTTGGGGCCACCAGCTGTGCAGCAGGCCAGCGCCCGCCCCACCCCGCAGGGGCATGGTACCAACCATCTTCTCCGTCTTGCTGAGGTTGACATCCTTCTTGTTCCTGCGGCGAGCCTTGGCGTCCTCAATGTCCATGAGGCGGATGAGGGGCATGGTGCTGCCGCCCAGCAGCAGGATGGTGAAGAGCACGATGACGATGGTGGTGGTGCCGATGAGCTGCCGCTTCTCCATGGGCTCCAGGTCCAGGTGCAAGCTCAGGGCATAGGGGATGGCCCCCCGCAGGCCTGGGGGACGGCGAACAGAGTGAGAAGGCACAGAGAGGAGGCAGCAGCTTCGTGGGCTGGCTTCCCTGGAAATCCGGCCGGCCCAGCACAGCAACCAGCAACTATTCTAATGGCCCCAGTGAAGAGCGTGTGCTCGCCCTGTGAGGCTTTGAGGTGAAAAGCGCAGGCCGTAGGGATGTGGGGACCACAGACTCACCCCTATGCCCACTTGGGCAGATCAATGAGGTGCCCCGCCCCAGCTACAGAGCCCCACGTGCAGGTGCAGGAGGACTTATCAAGGCTGATGCCTGTGTCTTGGAAACTGTAGGACAGCTGCTGTGGGCCAAGCCCTCGGGTGTGTGCGCCAGGCCCAGGCAGGTGCTCGGCGTGCAGAGCCTCACTGGATCTTTACAGGAATCCTCACCGAGCAGCACTACTCTCGTCCATAACACACAGATGAGGGACCGAGGCTAAGAGCAGCATGTCCCACCTGGGGCCACTCAGCTAATCCCCACAATAGCACAGGATGCAATGTGTCCGGCACCCCTTGTATCTCGAGATGCTGCCCCCGTGGAGGCCCCTGGTGGCAGTGACAGGGCTCTGGGCTGCTTAGGTGGTAATGAGAGGCTGGCTGGTCCCCTGTGAGGCAACTAGGGCATGACGGAGGGGCATGGACTGAGCTGGGGAACAGGACTTTCCTCTGTAAGAAGCTTCCTGGCTTCCTTGGCACCATACGGAGGAGACAGGCAGTCCTAGCCCTGCCCTTGGGGAGCTCCCAGAGCAGCTGGGAGGAGACACAGCAAATGAAGGCTGTGAAATGGTACCTGGAAGAGATGGGCAGGGTGGGGGAGCAGACAGGAAGGCAGGAAGCTTGCATCATGATGGGGCAGGACAGCCAGACTGCTGCAGATAAGACCCAGATGGGGAAAGGCGGAACAGGGGCACAGAGCACAGAATGCAGAGACACGGTGAGGACGAGGGACTCTCTGCCTCTCTAAACCTGTCACAGGGGCCAGAGGATTCAGTGACACAGCACATGTAACGTGCTTTAACAGGGTGTGTACCCAGCAAGCGCTTAGTACCAGTTAACCAGGCCACGAGGCAATTCAAAGTAGGATTTCTTGGGCAAGGGGGATGCAAAGGCATAGGGATGGCGGCATCTCCATGGCATCCAAGCAGGCAGCTGGAAACAGAAGTGCGGATCCCAGAGGGAGGTCTGGGTTCTCGGGAACAGCTTTGGGACTAGATGGAAGTGAAGGCCAGTGGACAGGTGAGCACACTCGGTGAACACGCAGAACACACGAACAGAATCAGGGCTCAGGCAGAGTCCCGAGGAAGCTGCTATGTGAGGGGTCGGTGAAGGGGGATGAGCCCAAGGAGACGCCAAAGAAGAGAAACCAGGAGCAAGGCCCCGAGGCCACAGAAGAGGGTGAAGCAGTCCTCGTCAGAAGGCAGGGGTGGTGGGAAGGAGGTGGGCTAGGATGGTGGCAGACCCCTCTCCCTCCCCTCCAGGTCTAACTGCGGGAGGTTGCTGGTGACCTGCCAAGGCCAATTCCAGCCCTGTGGATAGGTGGTGAAGAAGTGGAGAAAATGAGCAAGGACAGCTCATTCACGGGTCTGGCCATGGCAAAAGAGGCTGGGACGCAGCTGCAGGGGATGTGAGGAGGAACTCTGGATAAAGATGCTGGTGTTTTGTGGGAAGGAGGAGAAACTCTGATTGCTTAAGTGATGATGGGAAAGGCCGGTAGCAGAGGCTTGAGGCTTGTTCAGTGCTCCTTGCTGAGAATCCAGGAAAGCCCGGATGGAAAGCCGAGGAGAGAGAGCCCGGGAGAGAACAGGAGCCTATAGCCCTCGCCATTTCAAATACACTCCAGCCTTCCCCGCAAAGCTCTTATCCTCATGCCCCCTCCCAAATAGCTCACATCACTTCGAAAAACCTCTGACACACTTCTGCAATCACTTTACAAAGTAGTTTGCCTCATTGGCAAAAAGAGATTAGGAAAAAAATTAGTTTTTCTCACCATATATAAATGCATACATATATATTCACATATGTACATATATATGAAACATATACATTTTTAAACAAGGCCTTTTGAAAGAAGAGAAATCTGAGACAAACTTACAGATATGCCTTTGGATAGAGAACATCATAAAGTGTGTAGCTATAACCCAACCCACACGGAAAACACTTTAATTATAATATTTAAGCAAGAAAGCATAAAGAACAGTATGTATTGCTCAAAAATAAATTTAAAGATGACTATGGATCCAGTTCTTTAGAAGCAAAGATTTATGAAATCACTTCCATCCTTTAAAAAGTGATTAAATAGCAACTGACACATTCAAATTAAACTACCAGAACTTTGTGACTAAAAGGAAAAATATCCAAAACTAACATAAGGTATAAAACATTTTCTACTTTCACCTTTTCTACCTTGAGTCCATCATTACTTCAGCCTAGGACACAGCCTAGAAAACCCACAGGGAGGCACTGAGCCATGCCCAGCTGTGCCCTGGACCGCACTGTCCTGTTCAGGAGTGGCAGAAATCCCGACTCTGCCTCCAGTGGTCACGTGACCCTGGGCATGTCCTTTGCCCTCTTCCAACTAAGCCTCACCCACTTCACAGCACCATGGTGAGGGGCGCCATCTGGGCTGCAGTGGGTGCCATTAAACAAGAGTGTTGATTACTTGTAGCTTATGAGCAAATGCCTTTGCCAAGGGCGCTAGCAGAGAACTATGGCTCTCCCCACATGGTGCGTGCTTTTAACAGGTATTTCCCACCCTGTTTATTCAAGATTTGACTTACCACTAAACCACATGATGAACATCATCTTCGGTGTGATTTTATGATCCCGGAAGAAATTCAGGAGGTAGGAAAGAGGGAAAATGTTTACCGCTCTGCCAAACAGTACAAGAACCTGTCGACAGCAACAAATTAAGTCTTAGGTGAAAACATCTGGTTCTTGAAGCAGAAGCTTCTCGAAGCTGATGCAGACTGTTTAACACATCAAGTACAAATGCAGCATTCCCCTCAGCCATAAAAGACACGAGCGACACCATGCTTGTCAGAGACCCAGCATGGGCGTGCTGCTGGAGCTTCGGGCTCTATGCATCTAGGAAAGGATAAAGCTTTGTACATTACCTTTCTCAGTAGTCAGAAAAGAGAGGACTGATGAGGTATCGGGAAGGGCTTCAGTAATGACAGCAGAACAAAACTGAATGCCAAGAGGCTGTACAGACGTATTCACGGATCAATTTAAGGGCAACCTGACTCCAAAGGCGCCCCCTTGGGACAGGCCTGCATTGATCATTCCAGCCCTACGGGTACAGACTGGGTGTTTCTGCCTCTCCCTCAGGGAAAGGAGGTGAGCACTGAAGGACCTACCCATGCACGGAAATGCTGCTCTCTGATCAAGAGGAATGCAGAGGTAGGGTCTGCAAGGAGGCCACATGCCCTGGCTTAGCCAGACAGCTACTTGCTGTGGCATTTGGTTCCTTTCCATCCCCAAAGGCATGTTAGTCTTGGCAAAGTACAGCTTTATGTAAAGTTTACCTCTCTCTCTTTTTTTTTTTTTTTTTTTTTTAAATTTTTTTTTAAACATGGTGTCTCGCTCTATCTCCCAGGCTAGAGTGCAGTGGTGAGATTGCGGCTCACTGCAGCTTCAGCCACCTGGGCTCAAATAATCCACCCACCTTAACCTCCTAAGTAGCTAGAACTACAGACATGCACCACCATGCCTAATTTTTTTTTTTCCTGGATTCCGCCCTCTCTCCCCCATGCCTAATTTTTTAAAATTTTTAATTAAAGATGAGGTCTTGCTATGTTGCCCAGACTACTCTCAAACTCCTGGTCTCAAGCAATCCTCCTGCCTTGGCCTCCCCAAAGTGCTAGGATTACAGGTGTGAGCCATTGCACCCAGCCTAAAGTTTAAATGTCATCTAAGTGGATTCTTAGGACTATTACTTTACTTTCATTTTATTCATCTTGGTTCTCACCATAACTACTTGAAAATGATGATATAGACATATATAGTACATTCTTTAGGCTTTAAGTTTGTTCCTTTAACAAGCATGAATTTGAGAGTAATTTTTTTTTGAGATGGAATGCAGTGGTATGATCTTGGCTCACTGCAACCTCCACCCCCCACTGGGTTCAAGCAATTCTCTTGCTTTCGCCTTCCCAGTAGTTGGGATTACAGCAGTATGCTACGATACCCGGCTAATTTTTGTGTTTTTGGTAGAGACGGTGTTTCGCCATATTGGCCAGGCTGGTCTCAAACTTTTGACCTCAAGTGATCTGCCAGCCTCAGCCTCCCAAAGTGCTGGGATTATAGGCATGAGCCACCGTGCCTGGCCAAGAAGAACTGTTTCTAATCATCAAACATTTCTATGCCAGACAACATGCTAATCATTTTACATGCATTATCCTGCTAAATTTCAATCCTTGCAAAGGTCTTATAAAGTAGGTATTATTGTCTCCAGTTTACAGACAAGGAAACTGAGGTATAGAGAGATGACGTAATTGGTTGATAAGTTGATAAGGGAGGAAGTAAAGTAATGGATCTAAGCCTCAAATCTCGATCAGACCCCAAAGCCCATGCTCTTGACCACTAAGCCGAGCTTAAAGGGCAGGAACTGTAACCCATCTGAATATCACAGGCCGTCTCCACTAGCCACAGGGCCAGGCTGGGCCTAACTGCTTAGAGAAAACTGAGTTATCATCCAGGGCATCCTCTCATTTTCTTCCCAACCTGTGGCTGATACAGTCACCTCCCTGTTTCACCCACTGAAATCTAATCTTCCATGCCTACACTTGTGTTTCAGGTTTGATCAAATGTGTCCCCTTTTACCCAGTGGCTACATTAAAGGCTATGATATATATATATATATATATATATAGAGAGAGAGAGAGAGAGAGAGAGACAGAGTTTTGCTTTTTGCCCAGGCTGGAGTGCAATGGTGCAATCTCGGCTCACTGCAGTCTCCACCTCCTGGGTTCAAGCGATTCTCCTGCCTCAGCCTCCCGAGTAGCTGGAATTACAGGCACCCACCACCACGCCCAGCTAGTTTTGTATTTTTAGTAGAGAAAGGGTTTCACCATATTGGCCAGGCTGGTCTCAAACTCCTGACCTCAGGTGATCTGCTCGCCTCAGCCTCCCAAAGTGATGGTATTACAGGGGTGAGCCGCCGTGCCTGGCCTAGGCTATTACACTTTCTGTAAAGGACTTTTGCTGCTTTTCTCTTGGCCTGAAACCTGATAAACTGGGAGGACGAATAACAGTGACCAGGAGCAATGAGCCCTTGCTGACTGAGAGGTAGAAGTACCCAGGTTGCAAGAGAATATCTTTTTTCCTTAGGCTTCCTCATCTTTTCTCAGTCTCAGTTTCTCTATATGCTCGAGTACAAGTTTGTACACTGAAGATGACAATGCTAAAAAAAAAAGGTTTCCTAATAGCTATGTTTTATTAAGTGGAGTTGACAATAAGTTATCTGAAGATAAATTATGATAATTCAACAACAATAAGGTGTGCTTTTTTTTTTTTTT